TAGCGCTTGTTGTTTGTAATTTCTCCCATCACAAATGCAGACATGGTTTTATGTTTACGAGGCGCGATGCAACGCAACGCGTAAAAAGACATTATAAGTCATTATAATCCGTAATTATGTCCACACTGGATGCAACAAATGACTAGTTTATAATGGGTTTTATTGGGTTTGTCTTGTCGCTCCGGGACACGGCATCACAGTATGGTAAGGGGCGTAACATTTCCGTCACAAGCTTGAGGTATTCGGCCAATCACAGCGCACTGGATAGTTGGCCAATCAGAGCACACCTCGCTTTTCAGACTGATGAGCTTTGTAAAAATCAACGTGCTTCAGAAAGGCGGGGCATAGAGGAGAAACAATAATGTACAGTATGTGGAAAATAATGTGTTTTTTTTACTTTAAACCGCATAAACACATTTCATTACACCAAATACACAAAATAATGTTCTTTGTAGCAACATCATATGACCCCTTTAAAAAAATGGACTGACGCGTGATTGGACGTCTCTGATTGGTCCATGGTCGCTGGTTCCGGGATCTGATTGGTCGCTCACCTTGTTTTGGTGGGCGTGGCTCTCGCGGGCTCTGCGCGGAGGTTTCCACGAGCGCTCCTCGGTAACGGTGTTGACGTAGTAACAGCGTCCGGTTCCGGGGTCGCAGTACTGATCCCACAGCTGCAGCGTCTGCAGGGGTCGTTGACCCGGCAACGGCTTGGGAGGCTCCGCCCACTGCTGCTTCCCCTGCTCTGACAGGGAACTCTGGGAAATGTAGGCAGATGATGAGATCTGAGGAGAGAAACATTAGAGAGATTAGAAAAAAACTTGGTGCATAGTTCACTGAAGATGCAGCACATAGCATTATTATTATTTTTCTTATTGCATTTATTAATATTTTAACACTTTTATTTTTAAATAAGATTTGATCTTTTTAGTTTCCATTTTAATTTTAGTAATTTTATGTGCTTTTGCCATTTTATTTATTTTTAAACATTTCTATATAGTTTTATTTTTTTATTTCAGTTTAAGTTTGTAATTTTAGTACTTTTACTTCAATTTTATATATATATATATATATAAGTACTAAAATTTCAACTACTAACAATCATTTTTAGTAATTGAAAATATTTAAATGAAACAAAATACAAATCATTACATGAAAAATTAAAAAATTAGAAACTGAAATGATGCTTAAATAATACTAAATACTAAAATTACAAACTTAAACTGATTTCATGGAAACTTATTTAAATTTTCTAATTTCTAATTTCCATGTAATATATAACATTTTTTTAA